TTTTGCACAAGCTACTTCACTGTGCAAGTAGGAAATTTGCAGAGGGATGAGACTGCAGGTTAGATGGGAAAATTTAGCCTGATCTTATTCAGTCAATGTAGGATACACAGCATTGCCTGAAAGGATATTCTATTCATTAGCACTACAGTAGCTTAATAGTAAGAAGCCATTTTGCACAAGCTACTTCACTGTGCAAGTAGGAAATTTGCAGAGGGATGAGACTGCAGGTTGGATGGGAAAATTTAGCCTGATCTTATTCAGTCAATGTAGGATACACAGCATTGCCTGAAAGGATATTCTATTCATTAGCACTACAGTAGCTTAATAGTAAGAAGAGATCTACAAGTAATGTATTTCCTGTTTAGACATTTTATTCCACTCTGATACCTTCAGAATATTAAAGCTACAAGCACCGAAAAAAAAAAAAAAAAGGATTTTTAGCCAAGGACAAGTCAGAGGCATGATTGGTAACAATACTCAGAAATAACCTTTTCCTTCAGTTAAGCTAAGTTTGCTGTACATAGATATTGCTCTTCTAAAAAAGCTTGGAATACTTACACAAGGCATGTAGTGATCTGATCTATGCTTACAATTCAACAGTAGCGCAGCCCATTCACCAAGCCCTATCAAAAGCAATATCCTTAGTTGCATAGAAACAGAAAATATTCTGAAATAGAAGGCTGTATTCCTAATCCGTAGATGTTCTCATCTACTATGTGTACCACATAAAATTCAGGAGACACTTTAGTTTTGCTTTAAAAAAAAAAAAGTATTTTCAACATTAAAAATCTCCAAGTCTTAGTGGAGATAAATAAGAAAATAATAGGAAAGCACACCCTTAAGTATGCTTTACTATTTTTATATTAGTTTTTAAAACTTTAATAATTTTTTTTTAGATTGCTCTTACATAGGGAATGGGGGGAGGGGGCCACACTCTCCAGTGTGGTCATTGGTAAAGATGTCTTCCAACCATTTTCTCTCCAAGGTTTTGTACAAGCCTAGTAGGACAGCCTATTTAGCTGAGCCTCTCTAATGATTTGGATGATTAGCTTTTCTAATCTAATGGAGAGCAAAGAGAAATTTCAACATGCAGCACTTCTGTTTCTGGTACAGTTCGTGAAATACAGGGACTCTCAGGGCAGTCCCATCCCTTGGAAGAAACAGAGTTTGTAAGCTGAGCATTGTCCCACGCTGCCTCTGACTTTGTTGGTTCCTTCAAGAAGTGAAAATAGTGGCCCTTTGTGACAGTGGGGTTTCTTAGTCGTCTTGGCAAATGCCTGATTTCACCAACCTTTGGCACCACTTCAGGGAGTCATCGCATTACTTCAGAAACCATTGTGTTGAAAGCTGAATTAGGGATACAATTCCCCTTCTAACCTTCCCACTGAACTTATCAGAAAAAAAGCGAAGTAGATGCAGAACTGCCCAGCAAAGAGAAAGCAAGTGAGGCTTTCTTGCAAGATCAAAATCAGCTGTAGCTAGTGAAGAGGGAAAGACTAATTTATCAGGGGAAGCAATTTAACGGCAATCCTGCCTCTTGCTAACTCTGAAGGCAGTCCCTCTTGATAAGCTCAATAAAGACAGTAAAACTCGCATGCAATGAATGAACAAACATGCATCCATGCTCCTCACTCACTTTCCCCCAGTCCCTAAATACTGTTGTCAAAAGCTATGCTTACAGCAGGAAATAGCCTGCTTCCTGAAGAAGCTTTGACACCCAAATCTGAGAGAACATAAATCACAGGATATTGTTGCGTCTGTTGCCAAGAGGAAGAAGAAAGCAGGTTCTGGACTGGATGGGATGGCAAAGAAGGGATAGGGTTGATGGGCTATCCTATGTCTGTAGATCTGACATGCAGAAGGCACTTGGGATAGCCCAGTCCAATCAGGTCGTCTTTATGAAGTTCCATCATTGCATTAGCCGCACATTGTGAATGTCAGCCACTGTGAAGAAACGAAACCAACAATGAATGCCCTTCTGCTCAGAATGATATACTATGCTATAATCTGCCAAATTATATAGGAATTAAGCGGTGAAGCTATTGTAATTGTCATATGTTGTCACAGTGACTTTTTTTTCATCCAGCCCTGCATTGGCAAATGTCTGTCCTTTCTCCTTGGATATGGAAATACCTTCTTGGATATTTCATCACTATCTCAATAGTAAAGTACTCAAAACAAAACTCAGTTTTCTCCCAAGTCTTTCTCTCCTACAATCCAGTGATAATGTTACTATCTATCAACCAGGTCTAAACTTTTGTCTTTTCCCTCCATCCCTTCTTCTAATTTGCTCCTCTCACTGTGTGTGTGTGTGTGTGTGTGTGTCTGTCTGTCTGTCTATATATCTACCTATCTGTCTGTCTCTCTGCATATATACATACAGCAAAAGCATGTTTTTTCTTTTCTACACTCTGGCTTAACTATTGCAACTTTTCTCCATCTGATCTTTCATTATTAGCATTTTTATCTAGACCTTTTTTCTAAATTCTGCCATCAGAGTAATTTACCTCTCTTGGCATTGAATCTGAGATGCTTTTCTAAATGTTTATACCAGCCTCTTATTCATTGCTACATCTCAGGATTAGAGATGCCATACCTGTGGGCAACATGTTGCTTCTGCCACATCCAGATGATGTCCAAGAGACTCCAAAAGTAAAAAGCGGTAATTAAAAAAAACAGTCTTAACTTCCTTACCTCACCAAGGTTCATCACAGCACTCCCAGTGCCTTCTGGATCCAAGCTACGGAAGAATCCTACAAAGTTTTTAAAAATAATATAGAAAAGCCATTTAGCTAAAGAATGTTTATTCCAGTTTTTCCATCAATTTGTTCCCCAAAGGAGCTCACACATCAAAGCTTGAACAATCAAAGGAATGGATTACCACTAAAGAAATTACTTGATTTTGGTAATGACCCAGTTTACCTCAGTAGCTAGACACAGCCTCATCTGCAGAGCTAACATTGCTATGCTACATCAACTCCTATGGAGGTATAAATGAATTTTATAACCAGCTGATTGTAGAATTCATTTATATTTCAATAGGATTTGGTTTAGCACAGCTGTTTTTTTACAATCAAGTTGTTTTGCTGCACTGCAAGAATAATGCAGATATTCACACATCAAGCCTAGAGATGTACCTAAATGAGGGTTATTAATTGCCTCTGGAGATGGCTGCCTTCTCAGCCCCAGCACTGTAAGCACTTACTGAACATAGTCTCCAGCTTGACTAAGCAGCAGACAAAGTTATCGAAGTCCACACCCATTGATTCATCAGCATAGCGTGCCACTATCACTTGATGCAACCTGTTGTCCAGTTTAAAACCTAAAGATGTAAAAATGGACCATTAATTTTGGCAGAGTGGAAGCCAGGAGGAATACTAGAACAGACCAGAAAAACTCAGGTCAGGAAAGTCAAACAACATTAGGTAGAAGCCCATCAGATGACATATTTTTAGAAGTAGCCTACAGTCACCAAGTAGCTGGAATTACCTGTTTATTACACAGTAGCAGGTGCTGCCAAATGTCCTGGCTAAATTTGAAAAATGATGCTTGGAGGGGATTTTCTTCACCAATGAATTCCTGCTAAAGGCTGAGGCAAACCCTATCATGCTTGGAGGAAATGCAATGGAAATACCAACTTATTGATCTGCATGTATTTGCAGTAAGAGGTCATATTAAAGTTTTTTGTTTTACCACAAAAGCAGATATTCCTTGGAGGGAGTAAGGAGGGACCCCGGGGTAG